GAGTGTCGCCAGTTGTGAGGCGACTCTCCGCATGCCGGGCATTCGTTGGCCACATCTGAACTTATCCAGCTTCGGTAAAAGTTTAGCTTGCTGCAGTAGAGCGAATTTGTGCAGACGAAGCTCTGTCTCGTTCAGGCCGGGAGGCATCTTTACATACATTCACAATTCGTGTAGATTCTTCTGCAGCGTATTGCCCGAAATAAAGTAGTTATATGTTTATGACACCAATACTTTTTCCACTATGTCCCGGCATTTAAAATAAGCAGTGTTGTATTTGATCCAGGCCAGTTCATAGTAAGGATAAGGTGTCATTAAAAACGGTTCCAATTGGTATCTACAATCGGCTATGAGTGTACATATATCCATTATCCAAGTTCTGTGTAATAAGTCGGTAAAGAGGTATGCACTACGACCTAAGGATCTATTGTACCCTCNCTATACCTTTCAGGTTGTAAAGATCATCTGACCTAAATTGGGTGGTTGTTTCTTAATAGTTTTTTAATATGATGCAAACCAATATCGTTAAAAGCCGCAAAGTTCTTCGTTTGGAGATTTTTAGTAAATGGTATGGAATTAACACCAAATGACTCTAACGGCGGTTGCGCAAAGGTATTTTGTTTTTGTAATTCTCTGGACGCGTACTGTACAACACAAAATCTTAACAACTAATTAATTCTCTAATTATGGTATTTTCTCATAGGCACGTATGTATAAGCTCATCTGGAGGCCATAAATACCTGCCTCAACGCTTTCTGAGGTTTTGGAGCCGTCTCTGCATGTAATGCATGATGCTTGCCGGTACCCAGCAAACACAGTTTCTAACGTTAGAGAAATTTGGATTTCTACACAAGATAACTAAGATAATTCTCTAGTCGTTCTCGAGTCGATGACGAAAATAGAAAACTCCATTAGAATTCGATTCGAGAACGATTAGAGAAACAACGCAAATTCAAATAAATGTAAATAAGCAATATTCCAAATGTATAAATCATAAATTACCTTTAAGTTCAAATAATTCATAATTATTTTATTGCAAATACATTTAATATAAATTTTACAAACAAAGCGTTTTTTTTTAATGAAGTAGTTTGAAATTCACATTCGAATCTCATTAGAGATTAATATTAGAATTCGATTCGAGAATTAATATTTTCTCGAGTCGAGAAGTATGTCCCATTTTTGTTGAGATCGCTATGATTTTCGATAGGTTTTCTGAGTCGATCTCTAACGTTTGAGATTGGAGCATGATAAAAACACTTAAAGGTAAAACCATGATAAAAACATTGGAGCGGAGAATGTGGCTATTTCTCCAATCATTCTCTAATTAATAACTAACCTCAATGTTTGCTGGGTATATGTCCTTCCATAATGGAGTGCTTTTAAATTTTTTTTTTCGTATTATCTCTGAAGAAAAAAGCTTTGTGAGGGGTAGGTTAATAGTTTTTCCAAGTTCATGGATGATAAGATCTTTTCTCTGTCAAAATCCTCCCTTGGAATGTTTAAGAAAGTGCGCTCGATGGGGAGATTTACCTCGTAGCGACAACACGGAAGGGCGATACCTTTTCATCGTGTTTGACGACCTCCTGTCCTGTCGTCGGGTACGTGCCCATCGCACCTGCCAGTCTGAATTGTGATGGGCGACAGTTTCAACGCTAATAAACCTCTAGTCACTACTAGTCGTACTGTCATTGTGTGCACCCATTTTAGGATCTCGGGGTTACAACTCCAATACTTTCTTTCCCCGACGATTGAAACTTAAATTTGGCATAATTCACTGTTATTTTTCTGAGAGCAAGATAGTTTATTCTTTTAAAGAACCCGATGGCCGTTGTGGTTGTTGTTGTAGCTGCATACAAATTCCCCAAAGACTTTTTGGGAAGTGTTGCTGGAGTGACAGTCCTTGGTCAGATATAAATCTGGGTCGTTCCGGTTACGTATACCCGACTGTCGTGGGATTAAAGTGGTTTATATGAAGATCCATTTCGACGCTCCAACCCTTCATTAATACTTCTTTGTATTACGTCAAAGGAGGTACTCACGAACACCAATATGAGCGTCCCTTTAGAGTTTGTATCTGCACAACGCTGTCCCTACTTCTAGCTTCAGCAATATTTATTTGCGGATAGTTGGCTGCGCATTTCTTTAATTCAGTGCTAGATTGAGGAAAGCGCAGAGCATAATTTCTCCAGATTCGGCAATAGTCTTCGATCGCTGCATCTTGACACGCTCCGGGATATTGTACCGCAATATAATGAATATGAATGTTGAGATCACACGCCTAAAATAACGTGAAAAAATTAAATCATTAAAAGACCTTGAAGATCTTAAGATACTTACAAATTGATGATGTCTAAAAAACCCCATTCTGTTGAAATAAATATGTTGCGAATCCTTGCTCGGAGTATATGGCAATTTTGTTTCTGTCTTCTTCATTCCGGGAATAACCATATCGGACAAAGTTATGCTTCATGATAGTCGAGTATCTTTTCTAAAACTACAGACATACTACTGATCGCTGCAAAGGAAAGCAACCTTAATGCTGCAAATTTTATTTCCGACAAAATAACGGATCTACGATGTTGTGTTGTTGTAGCGGCTTTTCAATCCCGTCCGGCCCGGCTTGTGCCGCAATCGTTGTCGTCAAGCTCAACTAACTGGAGACCCAGGAAGGGTGCAGCTTCTATAAGTTTTGTCCATAGGCACAGAGGCGTTAGCTGAGTGCAGTTTAGGGGTGTCAACAGATTCAAATAATCCGAGGAGTTTGTGATATACCCTCTTCAACATTTCCGGTATTATAAAAAGCAAAGCAACGATACCCATTTTTTTTTATATTTTCGACTTTTATCAGAAATTTTTGCACATTCGAAATTTCTTATTTGTTTACCTTCTTGTTCTTTCCAGCTGATGGTTCGCAATCTCAGTATATCCAGTAAAAAAACTGTGGTGAAGTCCTTTATGGGG